CCCCAAAACCCCAAAACCCCAAAACCCCGAGTCATATAAATAGATTAAAGGCTACAAATTACTTAATTAGAAATTAAATTAGTTCAAGTATAATAAATTTCGAAAGGTGTAACACCAATAGACTCAAGCTTTTTAGAGTTTGCAGGTTCAATCCAAGGTATTTCAATCTAAGCTTAATTTATCTTATTAATCTCATCTATTCTTTGCTAAGCCATTGCAGGGATAAATGAGCAAAAATACCAGCTCATTATTACATGCAGTGGGTAAATTACTAAAGTTACTGGATTCGATGATTTGCAAGTGAAAATAAAGTAATAAACAGAGGGAATCCAAAAGCCTCTACACATGAAGTAAGTTAGATAGTATGCGAAATCATTGATGTAATAACTCCAAGTATATCTCATTCCCATTCTCTTTAATATTTCTCTCATGTGCATAGGAACATTGGAGAATTCAGCAGGAACCATATGCAATGCCATATGAGTGTAGTCATGCTAAAAGTAAGCAATAGCATAATAGCCCATGATACCAAACACATGATGCATAAGGTTACCTCCATCCAGGAAACCTTCAGTCCACATAAAAATTCCATCCATAACCAAATAAGAGGAAGTATTAGCAAGCATCATTAGTTCATAAGTATTATTTTTACGAGTACAGGATGTGTCTAATTAAGTAATGTACCAAATTACTCCACCAATAAAAGCTAAACCTCCATGATAAGCATTAATAACTCTAAACCTCCATATCAATTTGTCCTTTTAACTCATTCTTTTTGCATAATAAGTGGGAATTGGATGATGATAGCATCCAACAAAAAACATAAAACCCCAAATTAGTAGACCCATACAAATGATAATCCAAGTTTCTTATGCTAGTTCAGGATAATATGGAAGATTCCTCCAAGATATTGCCTATAATAATGATTGTCTTTATAAGGTTATTAATTTATGAATTTTTACCTAGTTCTCTATCATCTTAAGTTGCTTTGCTTTTGAAATGATTAAATTTATAATTAATTATAGAATTTCAAATGTAATGGCTTGAGGATTCCTTAAAAGAAGATATTGATTAAATAAATGATCACCTTTTTTTGTCCAATATGATTGCAGCAAATAACTTGGAAGTGCTTAAGAAAAACAAGATATGTTCAGTACTATCAGTTGGAGATCATTTAGATTTTAAACACAAAGATAAGTACAGATACAAATAAATCTTGATTGATGATAAGTGGACTGCAGATTTACTTCAGCATTTCTTGGAATGCTTTGAATTCATCGATCATGATTTTGATTAAGGAAGAAATGTTTTGGTGCACTGTGCAGCCGGGGTTTCCCGTTCAGCTACAGTTGTTATCGGATACCTTATGTACAAGGGAGGCTTGTATTTTAACGAAGCTTTTACTATGGTCTAAAATTGTAGAGGCTGTGTCAATCCTAATGATGGTTTTATCTTCTAACTCAAAGAATTTTAGCAAATTCTCTAAGATAATATGTTTCCTTTGTAGAAAACTTACTCATAAGATAATTATAAGATCTAGCATACAGATGAAGTTGAAAAAATTGAATGAAAAATTACTGAATAAAAATATTTCCTGATATGAGAGTATAAATTTGATTTATTTAAAAATTCGCTTTTGAATTTCTGATTCTCTAACTAATTGAAATTTCTTATGTGGCGGGGTTTTGGGGTTTTGGGGTTTTGGGGTTTTGGGG